TTCACCAGGAGGTGTGGCCAGGGATGGGGGGGGGGGAGAGAGCCTCACATTGTTTCCTAACAGCCACACTTCCCAGAATGCCTCAGGAGCCATGTGGTGCAATGTGGAGTTGCTCCCAAGTCATTCCAGGCAGTGCAGATAGCACAAAACAGTGGAGAGAGAGAGAGAGAGAGAGAGAGAGAGAGGAGAGAGAGACTTCTACTGCAGTGAGTGGCATTAGTAAGGTAGAAAAGCAAGAGGAAAATGGAAACGACTTAGCCATTTTGTAAAGTTAAGCAAGGTAAACAGCAATCTCTTCCAAACATTTCAGATAAATTTCTCCCATCCCCTACGATTTTTCAGGAGAGATTTGTTCTGCACCTGCCCACTCACTGAATGGCCAAAAAAGAATTTTTCAGACATTCTGGCACAGCTGTAAGCCTAACTGGGAGTGACTGCCCCATATATCAATGCTGCAGGTTGTTCAGTTGCCTGAGCGACAGGAATTATTCCCCCCGTCTCTTCTTCCTGAAGTCCTTATATTTCACTTGCCTCTGCTATTATTTCATGTTCCTGGCTATGGCTAGTCTCTTCATGTGCCCTGTGCCTCTTGCATTCCTGCACCCTCATGAGTTCCCGACCCTGGTGTACTGTCTGTGTGCATTCCCACTTCTGATGTTACTTTTTTCCTCTGGGTACCATATCTCTAGTATGCTACCAGCCATGATGGCTATGCTCTGCCTCCACAGTAATGCTTCTAGGTACCAGTTGTTGGAAACCACAAGAGGGGAGAGTGCTGCTTGTGGGTTTCCCATAGGTATCTGGTTGGCCACTGTGAGAAAAGTATGCTGGACTAGATGAGCCATTGGCTTGATCCAGCAGGTGATTCTCATGTTCTTATGCCAAGTCTCTTGCAAGTTCCAGGCGACATAGTATTTTTAGCCTTACCTTCTCTTCTCGTTCCTGACCTTATATTTTCTAATGATTTGAGACGGGTTGCACTCTCCCTGAATGGACAGGTCCATACTCTGGTATTACTCCTGGGTTCCAGATTGTTGCTGAGGCTTCTGTGGCTAGGAGTGCTTTGATCCAATTTAGGCTGGTTCACCAGCCATCCCTAGACCAAGATAACGTGGCCTCAGTTGTCCATGACCTCCAGCCTGGACTACTGTAACGCACTCTATGTGGGGTTGCCCTTGAAGATGGTACAGATGCTGCAGCTTGTGCAGAATGAAGCTGTCAGGTTGGTAAGTGGGACAACCCAATGGGACCATGTATTATCTATCGGCCATGAAAAGGTTGTACCGGCTGCCTGCCAGTGAGCTACCAGGCCCAATACCCACTGTGTGTAGTGCTGTGCAAAGCCCTAAATGACTTGGGTTGGGATTCAGGTACCTGAAAGAGCACTCTTTTCAGTATCAACCATCTTGGGCCTTACGATTTGTAGGAAAATCCCTGATGGTCATGCTGCGCAGTTGGGTCTTCTCAGTCCCCCACATTCACCTAGGCATATAATGGCTGAAAGATACAGTTCCTGGAAACCTTGACATGATTAGCTAGCAGAGTACATATCCTATATGCTTTTGAATGTTTTATTTTATTTTTAATTCAAAGTTTTGCCACCTTTGTGTCTGCTACCATGAACATGATATAAATTTAATAAATAAAAATTAGAAATGAATAAACCCAGTCAACAGGGAACCAGAATATGAACTCTGGCTCAGAAAGATGAGATGGAGGGAGAGAAAAGAACCAGGTGCTGCTTGGATTTCTTCAGCAATTTTTGAACATTCTGCACACATCTGTTCTGCTTTCACGTTAAGCACCTTTTTGATTTTTCGGCATCGTATCTTGTAATCAATCACCTGGCAGTTGACAAAACCACCCTGTCTCTTTCTGTCTTTGCAGCAGCTTCTACTTAATCTGCTAAGTTTGCAACGTTATGTCATTTAAGTTACTGTTCGGTTTTTCCACTGCTGGTTCCCTCCCCACTCCTTCACATTTATATTAACCAATTTTACATTTCCACTCCACCAAAGAGCTGTTTCACACAAGTGAGCCATATTCATATTTACCTCACCTTTCTGTACTCAGGACAGAAGGCATGAAGAAAATAAAATGGCCAACTGTCTTGTAGTTATCATCCTTCGGGCCTCCATGGCATGGAAACCAGTAAAGTACAGTTCCTCCACACACCAACAGAATCACATTATGGGCTTCAGGCCATGTGGGTAGAGCCACACACTACCTTCACCAGCACTACCCGTTTCAGGAAACATGACTCCCCATTTATCCCAGCAGCATGGGAAGGAGTAATGCTGCAGTAGTTTCTGTGATGTCTTCCAGATACAGGACTCCCATTATCCCTGGCCATTGGCTATGTTGTCCAGGGCTGCTGGGAGTTGAAGTCCAACAGCTTCTGGAAGACTACAGCCTCTTTGTCCCTCTCCTGGCCTAGCTCTTCACTCCTTCAAAGCCCACAATGAAAGGAGGAAATCCAAACCTGGGACAGGTTCGGCGTTGCCTCCTTTGTAAAAACCTCCCTGTTAGTTCAAATTATAATATCTCGTAGAAATCTATACCATGCTGAAATCATACCAGAAATTTAATAAGGAAATGGTTTTTAAAGCAATACAGCTATAATTTGAAGGGGGAAAAGAGAGAAAGAAGAAAGACAGGGGACAGATTAGCAGAAATTAGCAGATGGAAGGATAGGAGAGAAAGCCAAGTTAAGTCTCCATTCCAATCTTCCTTGAAATCAGAATTCTCTAGTGATTAAAAACAACAACCCATTGCTAAGTTTGCCTTTTACCTTTGGAGATTAGTCTCACAGAAATGGGAAATATAATATGCACAGTACATGAACTTTGGAACTCAGGACTTCTGTTCTTCCTTTTCCTGCTCTACCCTTAGTTTTTCAAGCCCAACAATACCTAAGGAGTTACACCCACCTCTCCGTCTCAAGGCAACATCCAAGATCAAATGGAACATTTTCATACATGGTGCTCAGAAGCAGTTGAGCTTCTGTCTTGCTATTTACATTAAAGTGCCAGGGAAAGAGAAAGGGCAAAGTGATTTACCGGTATAAGGAAAATGAGCATTTTGGCCAATGCAGGGTTTACATAGGCATGACAAATTGATCGCCGTTCTTGCTTCAGAGCAGAACTACGTGTTATAAGAAGCATGAGTTTGTTGCCAAAAAAGAGCAGTCCCCTCCCTTGCGGAGTTCTCTTCCTTGATAACATGCTGTAGAAAATTGCCCCACAGCCTGGTGTTTTCATACCAACATTCGCCAACCCAGTGATCTCCAGTTATTTATGACCACAACTCACACCAACCCCAGCCAGCACAAAAACATCTAGAGGGCATCAGGTTGGCTGGGATTTGAAGCCGTGGGTTGCACCCACTGCAACTTCTACTCAAAGTAGACCTACTGAAATGAATGAACCTAAGTTACTTGTGTCCATTAATTTCAATGAGTCTACTCTGAGTAAGATCAGCATTGGCTGGAACCCCATATCAATACCAGGCACTACATTTTTCTCTCTCTTTAAAAAAAATATACCAGGTACATTTTCAAACACTCTCTTCTAAGTGAACGGCATGGTAGCATTTTTGCATAATTCTGCAGAGCTACAGAGAGTAGAAGCAAAGCTCTAAAGCACCTTTTCATGGTTGCCTTTATATGAAAAGAACACAAGCAAAAGAACAGGGAAGCCAGAACCAATGGCTTCACTTTGGTTTTGATGTGCATAACCCTGGCAATTTGAGAGTCAGAACACACACCTGCAGAGATCTCTTATGCAGAGAATAATGCCTGCACAGTGACATTGTGAGGCCCATGAAATCAGAGAAGGGCTACAGATGAAGCTGAAATCCTAGAATTGCGGCAACACCTTTGAGTCAATAAAGAACATGACTGCGAAGGTGGTTTTTTTTATTATTATTTAAACAAAATCATTTTCTCCTCTCGTCAGAGTAATAATCCTGACCTTGATCTCCCATAATTAGCTAAAGGCATTCATTTACTTTACATTTCAAGGTCCTGCTCTCACAGCAAAATAATTGTTATAACAGTGACATTTGAAATGGAATGGAAACCCCATGCATGCAGATTAAGTGTTTGGGATTCTCTGGCTGTCTGGGGTCTAAGGATGTGGATAATACCTTTTGCAGTATCTCAAAAGTGTAATGAAGTATTTTGCCATATGGTAAGATGTTGAACTATGTGTGGCCCGTTAAAATAATACAACCATCAAGGGTGGCAGGATTGGTAGTCCATAATATCTGGAAGGCACCATATTGGGTACCACTGTAGAAGGTGTTTGTATCTATGCTTCTTGCCTATGAATGTGCTGATAAACTTTTTTATTGCCTCTATAAACTATATTCTTGCTGCAGGCATTCTGCACACATGTTTCAGTATAGACCAACAAAAAATGCCAAGGAATTAACAGGATAATCCTACCCATGGATGATTGAGAAGTAAGTCAAACTGAGCTCATTGGGATATACTCCCAAGTAAGTGAGTTTAAGATTTCAGCCTAAGTGCCATAGGAAGAATTCAACAACATGCTAAGGTTATTGTTCCATCAGGGCAAGCGCTTTGGCTGGCCAGGTGGAACAATCCCCATCCTTCTCCCCTTGCTGCATGCTGTTCCAGGGGTCCTTCCAAGCCCAAGCCCAAGCCCAATGTCAGGGGACGTGGTGGTCATGGGGGGAGAAGGGGGGGCCACATTGTGCAAGTGGAAGTCCTTGCTCGGAGCTTCCACTGACAGGACTCATTAGTTGAATCCCACTCTATAAATCAATAGGAGGGTTCCCCCCCCAAATTATTTTCTGTACAGGAAAAAAAGAAATGGAGATACGCAAAACAGTGAAAGAGAAGAAACAACCAAAAGAAATAATTTTAGTTTGATTTGTAGACATCCTGTTGATGACAGAGTTTTCACAAGTTCTTTCAAACCACAATCAGCTGAATTGGTAATTCATAAAGAAGAGATTATTACAGAACCACTTACACTTTTACTCCTGACATATAAAGTATTTGAGTTCTTGCTCATGTTGCTGCACTTGCTGATCCTGAATGGGCTTTATCTGTAGATGTTCCGTCTCCTGCCCATTCAAAGTCCTGCAGACAGAAGAGAAATATTCTGTTGTTATTTCACACAACCCAAAATGATGCTGTGCTCTCTTAGAACACAAAAGCAATGGTGGAGCAACAATCCATATGTCCTTCAGAATGCAAGGATCTTCACACACAGCCAACAGACACATGCTAAATAAACATCGTTTGTGCTTTCAACATTGATAAGTGTAGATACGTCACTAAAAAATCTAGACAATATTCTTTATCCTAGATTTGTTTGGACAATTTCACATTCCCCTCTCTCTGTAGTTCACTGCCAACTACAGTTGTGGGCTTATTTTTGATCTAATGCAGTATATGAAAAGACTTCACAATATTCCATAATTTTGTAGATAACCAATTGTCTCATAGATACATAGAGCTACCATATCTTGCTCTCTTATATCACATTACTTTATATGCTTGTGGCATATTATTGCCCTCTATTGTATATTTTGTATTTATATGCTGTTCACCACTTGGTGGGTGGGGAATTTGGATTGAACAGTGGTACAAAAATGAAGAAATTGTCAACAGCCGCTGATGCCCATTAGAACTGGTGGGGCAGTGACAGGAGCAAGCCAGCAGTAAATCACACAAGCAAAGTGGAGTTGACTCTTTATTAACAAAACAGGATCTGCACAGGAGTATCAGACCTAATGAGCAGAACAACTCAGGTGTTCCCCCAAGAAGCAGTTGCCAAGAATAAAGGTCCCCGTCTCCCTACAGCCAGCTAAGTCTCCTCCCTTGCAAGTTCCTCGCCCCCAAGCAATTGGAGACTGTGCCTGCGTGTCTATCTTTGCTCCTCCCACTTCATGCCTCTTCTGGTTCTGGGAGATGAGGGGGAAAGGAGTTTGTTGCAGCAGGAGGGGTAGTCAACCCTGCCTCTTCACAAGTCTGATTCATCTGTGTCTCTTAGCCTCTCTCCTGTCCTGCCTTGGCTTCTCCCTCTGATTCTGGACTTCTCTCTGCCACAGACTCTCCCAGCTCACTAAGTCCTGTTACCCCTTCCACTTCCGACACCTCCTCTTCCCAGTCTTCTCCCTCTGACCACTCATCATTGTCCCACCATCAATCCCTGGGCTCTGAGCCTTCTTCCCTTGGTAGTTCCTCAACTGGTTCCTCCCACCATTCCTCTGCATCCAACCAGTCCATGACAGGCAAAAGACAGGGATCCCAACAGCTGTTGGAGCCAGAGCCAATGGCAGGCAGAGCCAACTAATTGTAGTCTTGTCCCCATCCTCCTTCTTACTGAGTTTTACAAGGGCAACACTGAGACTAAGGAGAAGGAAGCTGATAGGCAGGGCATCACCTGGACTGGATTCAAGTAAGAAGGCAGGCAGGTGGGGGTCTGGCTGAGGACAGACTGAGTTTGGTGGGGCACTGTCCTAATGAACCAGCCTCCAATGGAAATTATACATCCTGCATTTCTTTAAATATACACTGTAGGAGAGGGGAACAACCTGCTCCTCTACCATGCAATGTAAATGCATGGCCCAGCATCTTCACACAAAACCTGATGCACCATGGAATTGCCAGGATTACCTGGACATGTTCACAGGTATATGAATATGATGCATCCTTCTTTTAAAAATAAAAAAACCTGGGATGAATTCATGGATATCTGTAGACTATGAAAGCTGCACAAAACCAGATAGCCAACTATTCCCCCTTCAAAAGCAAAGTGAATGCATTCTGGTTGGCTCAGTTTAGCCTATGAGCAGTCCAGTGAGTCTGGGCCAAAGGCACACTGAAGACAAACATCTCAATTATTTTAAAAGGTACACAGCAATCAAGAATGGCAGATTATTTGTGCATTGCTGAATAATTCACCCACATCTTATGCCTGCCATTTAAGGTTAGATGCTGGATGTCGTTTCACATTGTTAATCTTAAAGCACAGCTCTTCTGCAGCAACTGGCATAGAGAGAACCACTTGCTCCAAATTGCTCGACATGCGTTGCCTGAGTCATCCATTGACTAGTGTTGGGTTTGGCAGGATCTGATATATGCTTTCTTTAAATCTCAGCTGGAAATGCCATTTACAGGCATTTGATTTCTCTAGCACATCAGGAACAAGCTGCAAGGGGTGGAGAAGATCATAGCGTTCTACACACCAATAAAAATTACAAGTGAAAAAGTCTTGGTCATACGCAACATACAGTTAGCGAGTTATTAAAGGAAGAAATGGATCTGCCTCACGCGAACGCCATTGCAGATTCTAGCAATGATGAGGGCTCACTCATATTGTTATTACAGCCCATTAATAGCCGGCAGCAGGAACCAACATCCAAATCCAGCTCTGAATTATGTGAAGTGAAAAGTGAGCAGGGCTACAAGCAAACTGCTTAGTCAATAAAACCAGATTTATTTGTTGTAAACAGAAGAGAAAAGTCTGAAAGGTGCTCCAATTCCGCATGTCACATTCGAGTACACTTTGAGTCGTCTCAAATCTAAAAGCAAAAGCAGGAGGAAAGAAAGCATCCTGGCCTTGTTTGCCAGGATATATTTCCTACCCCCCACCCCCCTAATGAAGTGCATCACTAGAAAATATGCTATTCTAGGCAGGTTCTTCAAAGTGTTTGCTCCAGAGAAATCTCCTGCTTTATATTCTTGTCACAGTCCGATGATAGTCAAGGTCAAATTGCTAATCCAAGCTGAGGGACTATAAAGGCAACACCATTTCTATGCCAAAGTTGTCGTATAGTTTATGTTATTGAAAATAAATGGCAAACCTTATGCATTTAAATTATGCCTCTCTCCATAGGGAAAGGGAGTTCATGATCTTTAAAAAACACACACAGTGTCGCAACAATTGCAAACGGTCATGACGGAAACCAGCTGTTTGCATGCTTCAGAAACTAAGCATGAAATTGGTTGCTTATTATAGAAAGGGAGACCAGACTGGAGACAGATTAAGCGAGGTGGGGGTGCTTTTATCATCTTCCTTTAGGGTAAAGTTTGTTTGACAACTGAATGGCACACACACACACAAAATAATGGGTCTTCATTCTTTGCACAAATGTTACTGAAGGCTTCTGGGGGAGGGGGGCCAAAAGGCCACACGTTAGCACGGCAGTGCATATTGATTGCACAGGAGATATAATTCCGTTTCAACATGTGTTTTACAATCTCCAAGTTGCGTAGCTAATCTTCTTATTTTATTAGAGCTAAAATAAAACAGATTGTAACTTAGAAAATACATATTATTACAATTGAATGGCAGTAATACGTAGTTCGAAGCAGAGGGGGTGTGGAACGTGCTACAATTTTTGCGGACCGGTTTCGTGTTGTGCTGACTGAAAATCTCTCTAGGCTCTTTTGGATACTTGGATAGTTGAATAAACTCATTTAATGACCAGTAGTAGGTTGTTGTTGTTTTTTACAAAAATGTTGCTGTCTAGAAATAGAAATGCAAGTCACACCTACATGGCCGGTTGTACAAAACACGAATCTAGCTAACAAAAGAGAGTCAGGCTAAATCAAGGATTTTGCTCTGGGACCTCAGGTGCAAAAACATATTGAGCAGCCCTTGACTGAAGCTACCCTGTACATCTGTGCTTTGGGTCCAATGAGCTCCCTAGCTGTCAGGTTCAAATGTGCCTCCCCATTTGCCAAGGCTCCCTTATATTTCATTATTCAGAAGCCAGATGTAAATAGGATTGCAACAAGGTTTACAGGCGTTTCAGCAAAACCCTAAGGTTAATGAGTGCCACTTGTTTACTTGAACAGTTTCCCACATTTTGACTCAGCTTGCAACAGCCACATAAATACAAGTTTCATTAAAAACCACACAGCATTCCTGCTTGCTTTTAGCATTAACTGATAAGATGCTTATCTGCCAATTCCTTATCGGCTGCTATCTTCAAGATCCGTCATTAGAAAAACAAACCTCATTCTTGGTTTTATGGTTTAATGCTAATCCCCTTTTTTGTTCAGAGGCCTGGGACTCTTTAGGAATGAGAACTTGGAAAGCATAGGATGCTTATTAGGTAGCAGGTTTATTTTAGAGCTCCTCCCTTGCTTACAGTGATATTTAGGCGGGTGTTCTTCCTGCCAGAATTCCCTTTCACCCATCTGCCTAGTTGTAAGTCCTGGGAGAAGTAGTCTATGCTTAGCACAGAATGTTCTGGAATCAGGTCTGGATCAGGTCTTAGCACTAATCAGGTCTTAGCACAGAATGTTCTGGAATCTGGTCTGGATCAAGGAATGGAACTGCCCTAAATATTACATTCTGCCCAAGTGCCTTAACATCATGAGAGACGTCCACTGTACAAATTGCAAAAACTAAGCACACAACACACTGGAAGCCAGTTTCGCGTTACTTTATTGATGCTAACTTGCTGGCATACAAAGTGTTTAGTCACAATAGAGAAAAAGCTGAAATTTTAGGCAAATAATAATGTATATAATTCAAAGATAATTAAATATATGAGGAGCTGGTGTAATATAGCTGCTAAGACTCTGAGCGATGAATCAGCAAGTCTCTGCTTCAAATTTCACCACTGTGATTGACTCGTTTTGCAGCCTTAAGCAAACTCCTCTCTCTTTTAGCCTTAGTAATATGAGAGTAATAATATTGACTTAACTTTGTAAGATGATATTATTATTATTATTATTATTATTATTATTATTATTATTATTTTATTTGTACACTGCCCATCTGACTGGGTTGCCCCGGCCTCACAACAATTAGATAATGTATGTGAAGCATACATACTTGAAAGTGCTAGACAAATGTTGACCGTTACACAAAATGGGACGACAGCATTCAGAACAGACAGCATCCAGTATATTGCATAAGCATAGGTTAGAAAGCAGTGATTTAATGTTTTCAGCAAAAGATGTTGTGGTCAGGTTAGAGTGAAGTTTCAAATATCATATAAGGAACTACTGCCCTCCTTGCTAAATGTATTGCTTCTTTGGGTGGTATTTAACTAAAATTTACTCAGAGTAGACTCAATGAAATTAGGTCCATAAATGTCGATAGGGCTCCATGGAGT